GTGATCACCAGTCAGACCACGTGCCTGCTCATGTATTCCCCTTGAGTCTTAGTCTTGAAAGAGGGTTTGCCATGAGGGGACCCGACCACTTGCCTTGATGGGTCTTGGGAGAACAACTTGCTTGTTCTTGTAGTAGTCAGTTGGCCTGCCATTATTATTTTTTATTTTTCCTGCCAGTCTTTCAAGAAGTATCCTCTATTCTTCTAGCCACTCCAGGCTGGTCTGCTTGTCCTTTCAAGTAGAGATTTCCCACCTCAGAAGATTCTGGATGGGGTTCAGGATTCCACCTTTGGTCTCAGGCAATTCAAAGGTTCCACAGGAAGCCTCCTTCACTGGGCAAGTTGTAGCCTCATTTTAGGTATTCCAGTCAGTTATAGTCTGAAGACGAACTTATAAGCTTTCTATGGTGATGTTTCTGGCTATTCCTTTCTCTCCCCCTCAAGTGTCTATTTTACAATGGTATGCAAAGAAAACCAAGGTTCAAAAGACAGACAAGCATCTTAACATTATTCCCCTCTTATACCCTTTCAAACCATGCCTCATTCCCTGTATCCCAGAGTCCTGTTGTTCCAAGATTGTGCACACACCACTATTTACCTCTCTCCCTCTTAGCCCAAGCAAATTGGCGTAACTGTTCTCCCATCTGCCTTGTTCATCCATTCCCCTCCTCCTTCTTGTTCTTTGTGTTTATTCCACTTGGAGTTTATTGAGTTTCATGATGCATAGATTCGTATTTGCGATCAAATTTGAACAGTTTCTGCCATTATGTCTTCAGATTTTCTTTATGTCCCTTTCTCTCTCCTCCTTCTGGGCTTCCCTTGATGCATATGCTAGTTTGCCTAATTAGTGTTGTTATTTTCTATTTGTTTTTGTTATGCCATTGAGTTGGTTCCAACTCTTAGCAACCATGTATAGGGTTTCTGAGGAGAGGTTGATGAGTTTGAACCACCAACTTTATGGTTGGTGCCACACCAGGACTCCATTTCATGTGTGGTGTCCCACAATTCCTGTAGGTTTTTGTTTCTCTCTCTTCATCCTTTTTTCTTTATGCTCTTCAGGTACAATAATTTCTTTCTTCTGGCAGTTCAAATCTGCTCTTAAATTCCTCCAGATAATTTTTATTTTACTCATTTCCTTTAATAGTTACAGTATTTCTGCTTGGTTTCTTTTTAGAATGTCTGTGTCTATTAATGGGGTCCTGGTGTGGAACTGTAGGATAAGCACTGGACCAAAAGGTCGGTTTGAACCACAAGGTCAGCGGTTCAAACTCACCAGACACTCCTAAGAAACCCTATGCAAGGTCGCTAAGAATCAGAACTGACTCGATGGCACTTAACAACAACAACAGCATATCTGTTAATGGACTCCTGTTGTGATACTGTAGGATCAACACTGTACTGCAAACCACAAGGTTGGCAGTTCAAACTCACCATCTGCTCCTCAGAAGTCCTATTCAGGGTTGCTGTGAGTCGAAGTTAACTCACCGGCAGTTAACAGCAATAACATATGTATTAATAAAGTAGAAGCTTTGTAGATCATAGTAAGTGATAATAAGATTATCATTTATTGAGTGCTGACTGAGTACCAAGAATTTTCTTATGTAACACAACAACTTTCTGTATAAAGCTGTCTTTTCTAACTCATAGTGTGACCCTAGTTAGGTAGGGTTTCCAAGGAGCAGCTGGCAGGTTTGAACTGCTAACCTTGTGGTTAACAGTACAGTATTTATTCTACAGTGCCATACCAGATAGAGAGTATTAATCTCATTTTTATAGAATGGTAAAATGAGGGAGAAGTTAATAAAAATCCTCATGATTTCATAGTCTGTATGTAATAGAGCCAGAATTCAAACATAGGCTATCTTGCCTTTTAGGCATCATAATAGTCATGTTTCACATGAGTTCTAAGATCCTTCTTGAGGGTAGGGAAACCAAGTGTGTATCTCTCCACATCTCTCCCTACCCTATTAAGAATAGAATCCAGTTTCATCACTGTTTGTTTTATGAGATTTTATTTGAAAACAGAATGTAATACCTAGATAACATTTGAAGTCTGGAAACCATGATGTTTTCTCACCTTAGTAAACTTGAATTTAAAGGGGACTTAGAAAGTATCCTTTCATGTTTCAAAAATATGCAAATGTTAAATTTTACTCATTTTATCATTTTGATTTCAGAGTGAGATAATTCGAGATAATACTGGAATTTTGGAATGTGTTAAAGAAGGAATTGGAAGAGTGATAGGTATGGGAGTGCCTCATAGCAAACGACTACTTCCACTTGTTTCCTTGATTTTCCCTACGGTGCTACATGGAGTTCTTCATTACATCATCAGCTCAATCATTCAGAAGCTTGTCCTACTAATTCTAAAGAGAAAGACTTACCATAGCCACCTAGTAGAGAGCACTAGCCCTGTGCAAAGTATGTTGGATGCTTATTTTCCAGAACTTATTGCTAACTTTGCTGCCAGTCTTTGCTCTGATATTTTACTTTACCCATTGGAAACTGTTTTACACCGCCTTCACATTCAAGGAACACGCACCATAATTGACAATACAGACCTTGGCTATGAAGTGCTTCCAATTAATACACAGTACGAGGGGATGAGAGACTGTATCAATACCATAAGGCAGGAAGAAGGAGTACTTGGTTTTTATAAAGGGTTTGGTGCTATTATAATACAGTATACACTGCATGCAGCTGTTTTACAGATTACCAAAATTATTTATGCCACACTTCTTCAAAATAATGTTTGAGATTTAGGTTGCATCACTGATTAGTCACCTAAACATAATCTGCATATTGTTTTGAAATTATTAGAGTTAAAAGTGAAATACTGGGGGAAACTGACACTGTTAGAAAAAGCCCACATTCATTATATTAAAACAGCCCTTTTTTTTTTTTATCACAATTATTCCAAATTTGAAAGCTCGTTAAAATAATATTCATAGGAATTTAATGCTAGCTACTATAGCACTCATGCTGACCTGGAAAATAAAGATCCTGGGCAAAAGCAAAAGTTCGTCATAAAATATAAGACAAAGATTCATAGACTTGACTCTTCTCTAATTTCAGTATCTGTTATGTTTAATTCACCTTGTAGATCAATGTTATATCATCCTTAACCACACTATACACATTAGGTCATAGTTTACCTTTTTAACAAATAAATTATACCATCAGTGAAAAAGACTAGAAGATTAGTTTGGCTCTCTGTAAACTGGAGTTTAAAAGTTTTAAATTTTTCCATATATAATCATTTTAATGGCTATATGTTTCTTATATAAAACCATTTATGTACACCCATGAAACTTAGTATTTTCCTTATCCCTACAGATCAGCGTGTTGCATAAAGTACAGTCATGTACTTTCTGCTTGAATATCACCAAGAGTAAAACATCAAAAACTAAGATACCCAAAGATTTAAGTTGAGCATAAAATAAACTTGCCCATATCGAAGACCAGTGTTTTAGTGCCAGCAACTTAAAATTTGTCACATTCATAATTTGCTTTGTTTAGCTAGGTATGTGAACCATCAAGCTATTTTTAGAGTTACTCTTAAGAGAGAGAGATTATAAAATAATCATGACAACTATTCCTGTTTCCACATTTTCAAATTGTGTACTAAACAGAACCTCACTTGCCTTTCTGAATGACTGTGTTAGAGGAGACAGAATTAAAATTCACCTGGAAATTTGTACCTCTTGCTTCTGTGTAATCATTAAATAACTACTTCAATTTTTATTTTCTTTCAGTTTTGCTTACATTTAGTGTGCAGGACTAGAGATATATAAAGGGAAGAGTAACTTTAATCCTATAACCTTGTACTTGAAATTGTTTTGATGAACATTGAAGGAAAAATACAAACCTTGAAGGGAATTTGGTCCTTGTTTTTTATGGATACCAGGGAGAGGAAAAAGTATATTTCAACAAATAATAAGCAAAAAACAAAACAAAACAAAAAAAATACGTAGATATATATTGAATCAATTTAATTAAAATTTTCTATCAATTTCTAAATTTCACTTGGTTGGGTAGACTGCTTTTTGTGTAGTTAAATGATGTAAAGTTGATTGATCTATCATTGAATATTTTAAAGTTTCATTTCCTCATGCATATGATCACAGTTTCACTGTGAACTCTTTAACATACTGAAGTACAAAGACTTTTCACTGAGGCTGTTTGTCTAGTATACAAGCTAAATTTGGTTTTCTTTTCTAAATTTCAGATCGATGGTTACTAGTGATTAATATTGTGATTGTAAACAAAAATGATTACTAGTGTTGTCACCAAAAAATGATATCCAAAAAAATTTGAAGCAGCATATACTTAGGAACGTTCTTCACTATCTTGTAAATGTGTGGGGTTTTTTTCCTTAAGGTTACTAAAGCACATAAGTGCTCCTTTTTTAACTTCTATCCACCAAGATGGGAAAACTAAAATAAGACCATTGATTATATTATTTCATAGTTCATCTTTTAGATTACGATTTACTTTGTCCAATCTATGTCATTTATATTGCTTTCATTGATTTTGAAATGCTAAGAAGTTTTTTAATTCTTAATATACCCATTTTCCTAAAATACTTTAGTTCATATATAAATAAAATTGAAGCAGGTAGGTTCAAATGTGTAAACTTCAGAAAATTACCAGTTGTCTTTCTAAAAGAACAGAATCTGAATGGAATCAAGAATTTGCTATTGGAAATCTGTGATTCCCTTCATTTTGTTAAAAATGAAATATTTCAAGTTCATTTGTTTGAAATTAGCATGAAAATGAAATTATATAAATTTTTTTCATTATGAAATGATTACAAGTCTGATAGGATGAACCAGATTAAGTGAAATCTCTAGTAAAGTTTTATTTTTCTTTGGAGAAAGAATCCAAGTAAATAGTAAAATGAAAATTTTAAAAGTGGTAAGTAAAATACTGATTATTTTTGCTGCCAGAGGTGTCTTGTTGGAAAATATGTTTAATTGAATTTAGAAAGGAATAAGTATAAACAATAATGAGAGATATTCTCTTTTTAACGTATGAGTACAAATATCAACTATCCATGGCTAAGTTTCTTGAGATAATAGTTCAAATTCAGTGTAAGTAGTAGTAGTATGAATATTTTATTAAAGTTCTATTGTTCCATTTTGGCCATGGCGCTGAAGTGTGATATGTTTGCCTTATGTTATAGGGTTTCTAAATTTGAGTCCAAAACAGTCTAAACAACATGGTAGATATTAACCTCTATTAATTGAGTTATGAATTGATTTATAAAATCTGGTGTACACAGACTTTCTCTTAAGATAATCTCAATTTTATTTTGTTTATATGTTCTTGAAAAATAATCCCTAGTTTATGAAGATTATTCATTTGAGTCCAAACTTATAAATAAGTATGAAATAGTAAAACCAAGCTAATTTCAAAATGGCTATGGACTCGGGGATTTAATAACGTAGAATTGTCAAAAACATAAAACTGGGGAGGTAAGAGGTTTTACTCATTTTTGCAGATGTGCCTGACTATTCGCAACTCTCTTCAGTAGTGGGTTTGTAATAACTGAAAAAAATAATTCACTGATCATTGGACACAAATGCTTCAATATTTCTATCCGTGTATTTGCTCAGAAAGAAATTAAAATGCTTAATATTTGCCTTATCAGCTAAGACAAGTTACATTGTGGTGGAGGGTGTAACTTAGTTTACTTACTTGATATGTTAGAACAAAAAGAGAATGCTATACCAGCTTTTAAAAAGATAGCCAAGTTTATTTTCAAAACTATATAAACAAATAAAATTGTCTTTGAAACAATTCATATTGCATTAGAATTTGAATGATACTTTGGCATTTCTGCTTTCTCTTCCCTTTCATATGGTTGTACATAATCTCACTCTTGCTCTTGCGCACGCTCTCTCTCTCTCTCTCTCTCTGTAATATAAACAAAATATGTAATGTCTTGCTTTGAATCATTAAGTATCATTGATGTGGTACTACGTTGTATAGCAGAATAACAAAAATTGTGATTTGACAATATTACCTCAGCTAGAAGAGGTGTGTGGTCTGTATTTTTTTTTTTTTTTTGTAAGTTGTTTTGTCTCCCTGGTATTTTAAATGTTTTGAGTAAATTGTGTAATATGAAAAGTTCAATAAAATGTTGACATAAAACTAACCTTCTTGTACTGATGCTAGAGAATTATTCAGACTGTTGTTTAAAAATAAGCTATATTTTTGTAAGTAAGATGAAGGTCACGAAAAATACATGCGTAAAGTGAATCCTGTTTGCCCGTCATTTAAAAATTATTTTCCATGGTCATAAAAGTGATGTAATTGTGATGTGCCTATCAAAAAATTAGCATATTTCCTAAATGGAAGAGTCGAGAACAGAACAAAACTATAAAAACAAATTCAGAGGGTCTGGGAGGTCAGTCTATGATCAAAAAAATTACAATGTGTAGGAAGGTAAACACATAGGAACCAGAGATCCAGGTGGTGAGAAGGTCAGGTAGATTACAGGATAAAATAGACTGTCTTAAATGGAGGGAAATTTAATGGACTATAAGATGTGTGTGGTTAAAAGAGATGGGGATAAGATTCTATGATTCAATAGTGAGTAATTGTTATGATGACTAATTTGACTGTCACAATTTTAAAGGTACAAATTTTGTAACAAAAAACGGGAGTAGTTAATCTTACAGTCCAGAAACAAAAGACCCTAGGACCATCAAGGGAGAAGAGCACAAGCAGAATGAGAGAATTTATCCAGAGAAGCAGCAACACCAGAGATGGGGACATTGAGAGGCGGATTGGCTGAGGACTCTAAATTTATGGGAAGAGAGGGACTGAGAGCTGGTGGCCAGGAGCCAGACTTGCAGAATGTTCCCTTTGGTCATGTAAATTATTATATAAGCCTCTGTGTTTTAAAAAAAAAATTAAAAAGAGCTAAAGTGAATAAAGAGAAATGCTGTTAACCTATGGTACATGGAGGGGATTATAATCATTGTAATGAAACAAGTTGTATAATTAGTTGAATGTAAAACTGATAATCTGCCCTGTAAAATTTTACTCAATCCACAATAAAAATTAAAAAAAAAACCAAAAACTAATGAAAGATCCACTGAATATTCTCTCCTCTCGGGATTAACAGCCATGGCAGGTAGCAACTAATTAGTTCATAATCTTCAAATGTTCATGTTATTTCTTGGATATAATTTTAAGAAGGGAAATAAAATGTTTTGTCCATACCATGGAACAGTGTATACAGAATAAGTTCTGGCATATTCTGCTCATTTACATCTCCAGGGTCACTTATATAGAGTATTATATCATCATTTCCTTAAAATTTAATAGCTTCATTCTTGGATCAGACCTTAGTCCTCAAACTGACATCTTTACTTTTGAACCCTTTAATGAGGTCTTGCACAGCAGCAGATTTGCCTAGTACAATACGCCATTTGGTTTCTTGACTGCTGCTCATGAGTGTTGATTGTAGATACAAGCAAAATGAATCCGTTGACATCTTCAGCCTTTTCTCCTTTTATCATGATGTTATTTATTGGTCCACTGGTAAGAATTTTTGTGTTATTTTTACATTCATGGGAAACCGAAATTGAAGGCTGGGATTTCTGAGATTCATCATTAAGTATTTTATATCTGCTTCACTTTAATCAAGTATGGTTGTATTATCTGCATATCGCAGGTGGTTAATGAATCTTCCTCCAATCCTGATGCCACATTCTCCGTTTAATCAACTTCTCAGATTATTTGCTCTGAATACAGATTGACACAATACAGGCCTGACACACATGTTTCCTGATTGTAAACTATCCATTATCCCCTTGTTCTGTTCTAATGACTGCCTCCTGTTCTGTGTACACGTTCTTCATGAGCACAATCAAGTGTTCTGGAATATCCATTCCAAGTTATCCTTACCTTGCCATGATTCACACAGTTGAAAGTCTTCACATAGTGCGTAATAAAGCACAGGTACACATCTTTCTGGTACTGTCTGCTTTCAGGCCAACATCTATCTGATGTTGTAAATGATATCCCCAGTTCTATGTCTTCTGAATCCAGCTTGAGTTT